AAACATCTCTGTATCTGTAACGTGTGGAGGGTGGGTTACCCCCACGGCACTTAGGAGTCATTAGGACCATTGTGCATCCTCCTAAGATGATAGGCACCTCCTAGCTCGTGAGCCAGCCACAGATTTAATGTAGTTGACAACGTCGCCAAGAGGTGCTTTATATCGGCCTGTGTTAGCCGATACTCGCCGAACACAAATCTTCTAATAAATGAGAGCGTCGAGCAATCGTAAAGGATATGGTCGATGGTCTCATCTTATTGTTCGCACCCTCTGCAGAGTACGGATTATGACAGCCTCATGATATGGAGATGCTTCCGTACTTGACAATGACCAGTCAGAATGCCTGTGACTCGGCACAGATTCTGTCTAGTCATGTATTTGTTTGCTGCAGTGTTGTCAGGATAAATTAAAGTATAATTTATAACCACCGTAACGTAACTTAACTTAACGCCGTAGAAACTTAACCTAAGATATAAAAATAAAGTCTATTTATAAATGTCCGTAACGTAAGAGTTGAGTATGCGTGTTGATTTCAGAGATTATCAAATTACTGACAACCTTATGAAATAAACAAGTGTAAACTATGTACCTAACCTCTAAATAAAACTTATAAATTATGATTTTGTATATTAACTACTTTAAAAGCAATAATATAATAAAACAGAATAGTTTACCGAAGATGTTGATTGTTTTTGAGCAATAATGAGAATTTATTCTTTCCTAGCAAACTAATTTTGAGTCTTATTTCAGTTCTGGATTTGATGTTTATAGGTATATGCAGCAACACTCATATCTCATAAATAGTTTATCCCCAATAACATAAACACAAATCATTCATGATAATGTATGTCCATCAAAAAGGAGAATGATAGTTTACAAATGGTATTTGTCTATTCATTTATAACAAAAAATTAAAGAGAATAATCACATGCTGAACTTAGAATTATCTCATTGGCTAACCGTAAGGTCTTAAGTTATGTTAAGTTGTTAAGTTAAAAGTTGGCGAACTTTCCACGGTACGTTAAGTTCTTAAGTTACGTTACGAACATTATAAATAAGTATACGTAAATTCAATATTTCAACTTCTTACGTTAAGTTCTTAAGTTACGTTACGGCGGTTATAAATTAAGCTTAAGAGCTCCCTGCTGGCGAATGGACTTAGTATCCGTAGCCAAGGGAAACCTAAACTTAATCACACACACAAGAGCTCCCTGGCAACTCTGCAGTTTCTTGTTTCATCCCATCTTTCCTTGAATTTCACAAGGGAATGTTCTTTAATTAGGTCTGTCACTACCGACTTTGTCAGACCAATAGAAGGGCCAGGTCCAAAAAGTATTTGGTTGGCTGCTTTCTTGGCTAGTGAATCAGCAAGATGGTTTCCTTTCGATGTGGCGTGACCTTTGATCCATCTTAAGGTGACCACATTGTTGATGGATACTTCGGCCAAAGCTTCGTGACATTCTAGTACTAACCCTGAGTAAATTCGTTGTCTGTTCAGGGTGAGTACTGCTTGTCTGCTATCTGTATTCCTTCCAGTCATATTGTTTCTGGTTATTTCTTTTGTTGCTATGAGAATCCCCGTTAGCTCTGTTTGAACAAGACTGGCACTATTGCTCACAGCTCATTTTATGTTTAGGTTTAAGAACCTAGAGTATATTCCACATCCTGAGCCTTGTTTTGTTTTAGAACCGTCGGTGTAGATGTGAATCGTACCTGCCACTTCTGGCTCTTCTATTTGTTCTATTATAACTTTATATGTATGTATGCTCTTTTAACTCTGTTTTCTAAGTGCGAGTTCCATGTTAAAATGCTGTCAAAGGTGAGACCTAGGTACTTTACCTCTGTTGCAAAGTTTAGTTTTGTGTTTAGGAGTTCTGGAGGTTTTAATTCCATTTTCATCCTTTTCCTTGTGAAAAGGATCATTTTTGTCTTCTTAGGATTGATAGACAGTGAATGGTCCTTGCACCACTGTTCTATAATTTTTAGAGCTACTTGCATTCTTTCGCAGAGTATGTTCTCAAAATTCCCTGTTTGCAGAATGACCCGGTCATCTGCATATGCTATTGTGTAGTGATTCTCATTATTGAGGCGGCTGATGAGGGTGTCGAAGACCATATTCCACAGTAGAGGTGATAGCACCTCTCCGTGTGGATATCCCCTCGCAACCAAACCTCTCATATTCACATCTTCTACACTTATGTTTACTGCTCGCTTTGAGAGCATGTTATGTATCCATCCACTAACCATTTGTGGAACATTCCTGTTGGTTAGTGAGTGTATTACCTTTGGGAAGGTGGTTTTATCAAAAGCACCTTCTGTGTCAATGAAAACACCCAAGGCGGACTCCTTATTGTCCAGGGATCTTTCTACCCGGCCAGCAACTAGATGAAGGGCTGAATCAGTAGATCTGCCTAGGGTGTATGCATGTTGGTTTGGGTGTAGTGGTGTTGTTGTAATCACCGCATCTCTTATGTACCTTTCGCATAGCCTTTCCAATGTCTTCACGGAAAACGATGTCAGACTAATTGGTCGGTATGTTTAATCCATCCTTCCAGGTTTGGGTATAAATACCACTTTTATCTCTCTCCACCAGGTGCGGTGTGAGTTCTTCCAGACCCCACTTAAGTAGGGCTGGATAGATACCGTCAGGTACTGGCGATTTAAATGGAGAGAAGCTGGATATTGCCCATCTAATTTTTTATCGTTTACAATATGTTTGGCAGTCTGCCCAGTCGGCCACGTCTGTGATGACCAAGTAAGGGAAGTGTGTTAACAGCAGAAGTTTGATGCTAGCTTCGAGGTTGGCAGTTTTCGTGCCATCCTCTTTGATTAGCGCACCAATGCTTCGGTGTGGATCTTTTGAGAGAGCTTTTTGAAGCCTCGTTGCCTGCGAGAAATCTTCATGCATCTCTCTGTTTTTGCCTGACGATTTTTTTGTATTCTCTGAGGTGAGATTTGTAAGTATCCCAGTCCTCTTTGAGTTTTGTGGTTATTGCCTTATTGAAAGATTTGCTAGCCATCTTCCTGAGGTGAATCAACTCGTGACACCACCATGCGGTAGTCGTCTGATCGTGTTGGACCAGCCTCAGAGAACAGGATTTCTTATAGGCATTGTTTATTGTGCTTTGGATAGTGTTAGTGTATTAATAAACATAATATGGGCTCTATTCTGTAAACCCTTCTTTAAAAATTTAACTTTTATTGAAAACGGTATTTTGTGTTCACAAATTTTAAAAGACGTTAAAATTCTTTAAAATGCCAGGGAGCCTTTAATCCAAGACTAGTTCCAATTATTTTCTTTGTATATTAAAAAAATAATAAAATATCTTTAAAATTGTGTATTCTAGGACTGTCAATGCCAATAAGTTACAAATTTCTCGCTATTGTCAACGGCTGTTAAAATAATAAATGAATAGTTACAGAATAAACCCCCGCTGGATGACATAAAAACTACCAAGGCCTATACCGAAATATAGTCATCGAAAAATATAGACCTATATTGTACGTTCGTTCCAAAACGTCATTTTTAGAAACAAAAACGCCTCTACGAACTTATCAAAATCACTTTTGTTAATGTACCTGACTGTACTGACTAGGTTTTGTGTTGGAACAAACCTTATGAAATATATATGTGATAACATTACCGTTTATACTTGAAAAGGCTGTAATGTGTCAAATTATATAATGTATCAAAATATGTTTGTTAGTATTTTTTTATATAATACATGTCCCAGGATAAGGATGCGATTTATGGATGGGAAAGAGATAAATAAAACAGTAAAAAAATAAACTTTATAAATAAAATCAATAAAAAATATTATTTTAATATTAATCTGCAGGTATACACAGACGTCATACATTGGATCAGTTTAGTAAATACTTGTACGATGCAAAATGTCATGGAATTGTAACACAAAACTAGGTTTATGTACGTTTCTAATAATTGTGTATTATTTTGTATTCATTCAGCACATGTATTAGTACCAAGCTTAGGCTATTCAAGCACAAAAAGCACTGCTATCCACGCATACTTAAAAAATATCCGTCAGTAAAAAAATACCGATTTTCCAAGCATATCGAATGTGGTAAATAAAAATGGGTATAAACTTGTGCCTTAATGAAATTTCCCAGGATCTGACAACTCGTGCCATATTGTTTTATAAGGGTTCAAAGAGTCTTGACTCCATGCTGACCTAGTCAAAGTTATATGTTTATTTAACGTCCTGGAATCTTCAAGAACATCTCTTCAAATTAGAAGCATAGCTTGAAAAGTGAAAAATAAACGATAACATTCATGTTAAGATAAGAAAAATGACCTCCTTTCTACATTAACAACATTGGAATTCCACATACCTAGTTGTCAAATAACTAGGAATTCATTTAGATACCAAACTCATTTGGAAAGATCACATAAATGAAAACGTTAACAAATAGAAGTGAAAATAAAAGATTTATGGCTGCTAGGCAGAAAATCAATAGATAATAAAATATTATATAAAGCTGTAATTATTTCAAAATCCAAGATTTTGCGAGCAATAGTAGACGCTCCTGATATGTACCAAACCAGATGATACACCAAGAACTTTATATTGCAACAGTTCAAGAGACAATTCATCAAATAAGCTTTTGGCATCACCAAAGATTGGAGTCACATATTAATCCAACCACTATTGGACCATAGAAACAGTAGAAGACGGATCAATAGACCTAAAATAAGGTGGCTTAGGTCTTCTCACTAGAGAACTCTCCTCGGGACATTTGCGGGACTTTAAAATTAGTCTCCAGCTCATCAAAATAACCTATAGATTTGTGTAAATTATGATTATTTAAAAACTACTCATTCTTCCAAATAAATGGGGAATACGTTATCATGTATGCAATAGTTAAAATAAAAGAAACAGAAGAAACAAATTAAATAAAGAATTAAACCATAAACCATATTAGTAAAACAACTTAAAAACTAAATTAATGTTAAACTAAAAAAAATAAAAAAAAAATACCTTGGGGGTAGCTCCAGGGGTCGAACGGATCAGGTAATGGTTGGTTTTGGTTGTGGTTGTTTTTATTAATGGGGATAGTTTTCGGCGCGGGCCTCTTAAACTGATGGCCGCTACCGCCGGTACTTAAAAAATTTGAGTTACTGTGATGATTATTACTATGATTAAATAAATTATTGTGATTGTTTGTACCATTTAGTCCGTCCGGTACCGTTTCTATTGCCAAGTCTGTCAGAGTTTTTGGGACAAACTCGACTTTGGGACGATTTGCAGCTTCATCTTTCCTACAAAATAAAATACACATTTACAAAATCGACAACAAAACAAATTTAAGAAAGTTATGAAACCAATAGCAATGTGAAGAATAATTTTAGATTTAAAATCGGGACGTGTTTGACCGCCTCCCATACAGCACACAATATTTCAGAAATATTTCAAACTTTTCATACACAACATTTCAAGCACAAGTTTCTGAAATATTTTAGTTACTGAAACTTGTTAAAAAATGTTACGCAATATGGGTTATGTTGTAAAAGATCAGGAGAAGAAAAAGATGGGTTATTTAGTTGGAAGTTAGCGTTTGTCGGTTTTTGTTAATTAATAAAATAAAATAATTAAGTTAATAACTACCTAGAATTTGTTTCAGGTTAGTGCATAAAAAGGAATTGGTGAAAATGAAACGATTCATCTTTATATTTTATGAAATAATGTTTAAAAATTATTTATTTATTTATTTGTTTAAGAATCAATATTTCTGTTTTGCGAATTTTAAATAAACATATATATTTTTAAATGTCTTTTTTTAGTAAAATAAAATAATTACAGTGTAATATTGCATTCAAAAGCTATTTTGATATTCCAGAAATATTTTAGAAACGCTTCTAAGTTTCATAATATTTATGAACAAAACTAGAATACATTTCTTAAATATTACTATGTTTTATTTCTGAAAGGTTTCAAATTTATATTACTGAAATATTACAATAAAATATATTTACAGGACATTTTCACATTTCAGGGACATTCTAGGAATATTTCTGGGACGTTTCGTTATATTTATGCAAGATTACAAATGTTTCAGTGTTTCATTTTTGAAATATTTCCGAAATGTTTTTGTGCTATTGACCATGTAGTAACTTTTTTGACCACCCTCAGAAATATGCACCCATAGAGTTGTCCAATTTTGGATTGACCACCTATTAGATTGTTTCAAATTATTTAAATGGGTAAATTATAAAAAAACAAGAGTTCTGGGATGAATTTAAATTTTGAAAAAATGATCTATCGCCAGGAAGGCACAATTAAGATCCAAAGACGTTTAAAATTATGTACCGACGTTGGCCACCATCTTAAATAAGTTGAGATCCCAGAGGGGGGTCAAAAATACTTTCGACTTAGAAAAAATGTTCAATCGACATAAGGGTATGTATAATAAAGATGCATAATGGTTTAGAATTATGTTTCGACGTTAACCACCCCCTAAAATATTTATAATGAGCCCTCTGGGGTCTTTTGATTTTTTTTAGGGGGTGGTCAAACTTCAATACATAATTTTAAACGTCTTTGGATCTCAATTGTGCTTTTCTGACGATTAATCATTTTTTCAAAGTTGAGATTCGTCCCAGAACTCTTGTTTTTCAGTTTTTCTATAATTTATCCCGGGAAGTATTTTTAGGGGGTGGTTAAAAAACAATCTAATGGATTAAATGGTCAAAAATTGATCTATTATATGGTATTGCAGTTTTGAAAAATACAAAGTTCGGGGGACCAGCAGGCACTCAGCCTTTAATTTTTTTTATGCTTCTGAGGGTGTGTTTAAAAACTAAAATTTTCAAATTTCGGGGGGCCAGCTTAACACAGCTTAAAACAATATTTGTAAATTTAAAAATTATAGGATGTAATTTATTTTACATAAATTGTCTCCAAGCAAATCGCATAGGTTATTAGACTACTTTGCTCTGATATTGTGGACGGAATTCCACAAGGTAATGTTTTTGAAGCATTAATTACTTATTTTGTAAATCAGCGATAGTAGATACCTAATAATTTAATTTCTATACCCGTATAGAACTTTGAAACATTATAAATAACACGATAATGGTCACTAGGATTAAAAGATGATACTTGGAGTATTTCTATCTTCTTTTCTAAGGTATACTTACTTTTCCAATATAGTTTCAGTTAGATGCTTCAATACTTCTGTACACTGGCTATGATAATCTAATAAACCCTCGGCAAATGTTGCTAATTGTGAAATTTGTTCTACCTAAAAACGAGTAAAAAATTATTAGTCGTAATAAATATTAGATACTTAATTACCAGTTTTCACTTAAAACTATTTTTCGTGAAATCAGAGCTAATAGGAAATTATGGAAGAAAAATATTAACAAAAGAGACAACATTAAAAATACATGTTGTGTATAAATAGACGAAGAACAGCAGAAAGAAAAATTTCATTAAGACCAATAAATATTTCAGAGAATGACTAAAAAGAACAAACCATATTAGAGGAAAATATATAGTTAACAAAATAAAAAACAGAGAGTAAAAAGTAAATCCTACTTCTTGACCAAAATTCGAATTTTGGAAGGAGTATGAATGACCCTAAACATAGGGATCTCCTAAGGCCTTGGTCCATTTTTTCAAGCCGAAATCCATGCAATAAAACTTTCTGATAGACGCATGCGGGGTGCAAACTATCAGATAGCCAGGCATCACTAAAAGCTCTCAATTCCTCAAGTGTGGGATTAGAGATTACTGGGATTGCAACCTGAAAGGCTACTGTTTAAAAACAAAATTCCATAAAGATACTACATATATATCACTTTGATACTATATATCGTTTAGATACAAGAAGGATCTTAGGGCTTAACAGCGATTTACCATTTATAATAATTCTAAAACGCCTACTGGGTTAGACAGATTTATTGCTCAATACTGTTTTGAGAATTTAAAATGTATTCACCCGTGAAATCGAAGTTCGATATAAATGTATCTACAATCCAGATTATGATAGACAGCGAAATACATTAAGAGGTACTTACGTCATTTTCTAGTAAATTGAACATTCCCATTTGAGCAAGTTGTAGGGATTCGGCGAATTTTTCCTCTGCCATTCTGATCTCGTCATCTGGAATATTCGATCCTGTTATGTTAAGTAACAGGTTCAAAACATGCGAAATTAGTTCATGCTCTAGACAAATGCCTTACAAACTAGAAGACTAAAAACAAGTGTGCGTGGATAGATGCCTACAGTAAAATGTTTTTCAAATTGGATTCGTCAGGCAAAAAAACATCAAATCAAATCATACAGATTAGTAATCTAATTTAAAATATCCATACAAAAAAGAATAATATGGTAAAATTTGATGACATATAGAATACATTATTAAAATACATTTGCTAATTTAAATCGAACTGTTTGATAGTAGGGATAGACTAACCCAATTTTAATTCACTCGAATATAACTGATGTTACTAACTAAAAAGTTTAAACAATAAGTGTTTGTTCATTATTGAGCAGTTAATTTGACAATTATTAATAATTGTTGTGATGCCTATGGGAATGTGTGTAAGCTACATTTACATGCAAGTGGGACAAACAAGTGTAGACAATATAATTTTTTGAACAAAGATACTTTTATTTTTCAGCCGTGGATTTTTTAGGATGAGTGGACTAATGTATGTAACAAAAATATTCGTGAAGTGGTATGTGAGGAAGGTATGTAGACATCAGAAGTCCCAGAGTGACTAGAATTTGGACCTCCCTTCCCCAACAAGTTTTTCTTTATCCATTCAATACAAAATCCTGAAGCAACCCCCTTTCCATTTTGATAGAATGACCAGGGATCGGTTAGAGGCTCACAACATCCAATTTGAAGATATTTAGACACTATTCAGTAGAAAGATTCATGATAATGACCGGAAGGACTAAAATAAAATGCGTAGAATTTTTCAAAAGGTTGAGGAATAGTTTTAATTGTATACATGTTTTCCGAAAACTTTAGTTACATACGTTAGCCATTCATAGCAATGCCAATTTACTAGATAGTGGTTAAATACGGTATTATAGAGTATAATTTATAAAAAAATTATGTGCTTGTGAATAAATAATAAGTATATCGATAGTAGAAATTAAACTTGCAAACACAACACTTTGATTTGGTTCAAATCGTTTTTGCCTGATAATCTTACAGCGACAAATAATAATAATAAAAATCTAACTATACAAACAATGAAAACATAAGAGAGATGCATGGTGGATAATGAAAATATAAAAAATGGAGTGGATAAAAGACTAGTGGCTCATAAAATATTTCACGCAACAATAGCAAAAGTTAAAATGTGCGGTGAATAATATATCGGGGGCAATTCAAAAATACTAAACATACCATGAGATGTTCCCGGCGTTTTTATAGGACTGGCATAAGGGCTTAGAGACCCTTTAGATGCTATAAACCATGCTTATTATTGTAACATGCTTTGAGAGTGTATGTTGTAATAGAATAACAAAAGAAAATGAAGCTACTAAATATGTAAGGTGTTTAAAACATTGTCCAGCAATATATCTACAAATTTAAGAACCTTTAAAAATAAGTTTTACAAAATCATTAAGACCACACCTTGTTTAATGAATAACCATTTCAAGCGTTGCTGGTCAAATTTGAAACACCTTGTGTATATTAGGTATCTTAATTCCAAATTGAGGTTCTCTTACTAACATCAAGAACAACTTTATATATCTCTTTGAATTATTATAAACTTAAAGTGATAGGAAGTCAAAAATGGAGTGGAGAAAATGGATCAAATATTATCAAGAGTTATAGTATGAAAAAGGGATAGATTTGATGCAGTGCCAATACAAAGAAATGCTTCGGATCCTACGGTGGTACGTGGTACTAATAATTTCCAATAATATTTAGAGAATATAAAACGATCTCCACAACAAGCAGTATCTGTTGTTTACTCGGCAAGGTGGAGTCATTCGATAACTCAATTGGATTTAAATGAGTACGACTTGAACAGCAGCCCTCAAACCCATGTTAAACACATTTTGATCCCAAAAGAAGCCGTTGGTCACATACAGACTGAATTGGAAGATAGCTGATAAAAATACCATATAGGGCAATTCGACAAAAGTGAGTTCTTCATGCTAGTAAGTTTTAAATATTTATATCATTATATTAATAAAGAATAAAAATCAAATAAATTAAAATGTACCGATTAATTTATTTAAATAGTTAAGGAAATGTTTTATTCCTATATGTATCAAATAGTGCAAGTTGGTGCAGTAAAAATGAATATAATTTCCAATCGTCATATGCGAAATACTGAAATAGCAATAAAAGGAATGAAGTGTTTCACCGCATTCCGAACATATTCCGCCTTTTTATGAATATTCCGTTTTTTTCGAGTAAATTAAAATGTCAGGAATACAAATTCGATATTTCCAAAAATAGAGCGAGTTTTATCAGCATCAAGCTACATTAAATTTTTGTTTTTATCGATTGCTGCCTTCTCAATTATTCTCTTCAGTTTGGAAGTTGAATAGTACTAACCTAGATTCACGACATGTTTACTTCTAGCATACCGAGTTGACTGTTCCTCTTAATATTTTATTTTCCCCTAACCTCGAATGCTGTAAATATTTAATGGTCTGGCACATCTCAGAGATGCACTTAAAAGCTGCATAAAGCTCTAGCTTATATTTATACGAGATCACGGAAATAGACCATTGTGACGATAAGTTTAAAATGACTTTATACTTTGTAGTTACCGCGTCAGCATTAGATTTTAAACTCAATACCTGTGGAGTTCCACAAGGTTATATTTTAGGATCATTTTTTTATATATACTTATTTGACCTAGTGTAAAGAGGACGATAACAGATCATAAAATGGTGCTGGGACCACCAGAACAACACTAGTAAGGTAAAAACTCCAAAAGTTGACAATTTTGGGCAAAATAAGAATGAATTTGCAGTTAAGTAAAAACAATAATCTTTCCCAGAAACAAAAGGGTCACTAAGGAATAATATTTTTTACTGTCAATTTTGGGATCTTTTGCAGTGGTCACAAAATTATTTTTATTTTTCCTATAATAATAATTCAAGTTAAATATCATGCCTACTTGAATGTGAAATGCTAAATTAAACATTTAGTAATTTATACAACTTTTACTTCAAAATATAACAAAAACAGAAACAAATGGACCTTAATGTATCAACTATTGGGGTATTTACCTTTTCAATAATAAAAAAAATCAATCTTAAAACCGTCAAAATAGAGGTAAGATGAAGATGTAACCCGAACAGTAGATTCTGTGAGAAGGAGGACGAAACCTCCATTTACAATCTGATGGAATGTGTGGCACTACAGAATCCAATGGCACTTGGAAGCATACCAGATAGAAATAACATAATATGCTGATTATACTCAACTTACTAACTTTTTTCTGTAATTAAAAAGGTGGTGAGCAAATTTCTATATCATCATATTCCTTGAATAAAAGAGAACTGAACGCATTCCAGAGTAATTTTTTTATTTCATTTATAGAGCAAGTGTGCAGCAATGTATGAAAATGCGTACTTGCTTTAATTTTAATTGCTCTATTTTGCATATATATTGGCAGAAATAAAGAATAATTCTCTAAAAGCGCACGACTATTGGAAATGATATTCATGACGAGACCCTGGGAAATAATAGGATGCGATATATAAAAACATGACTATCGGTTGTTATATTGTAGTTAAATTTAAGAAAATTCAATCGATTTAATTAATCGAATTAATTAACAACTAAGTTTGGATAACAAGCTGTTTTGGCATGTAAGTTTACTGAAATTGTTGATTGATTTGTTTGTACATCGTACGGGCGAATTCTAATCAATTTTAAAACCAGTAGAATTATTTATTACAGTTTTTAAAAATGTATACCAAACACAGCTTCTTAAACCCACACAACTTTAAAATAATCAGTTGTTCATATGCTGTCTGACAGAAATTGAGCCTCGATTAAAAGGGGGTGTTAAAAAAATTGACTGTGTATGTACACACATAATGTTATGTGTCAAATTTTAATGATTGATGTGACAGTTATTGAGTAAACGTGAAACAAACAACATGTCTAGCAAAACTTTGTCATTTTGGAAATTTGAATATCGTGCTGTGATAAAAACCTTTTAGAAAAATGTAAAAGTGCCAAAGAAATCAATAATGAATTATTGGCTGTTTATTCACAATGTTCATCAACATATGCAACGGTCAATAGGTGGACAATAACAGAAAATAATATGAAATAAAATATACATGAATAGTACTCATAAATAAGAACTTGAAAAAAAAAAATTAAACTTAATATGTATGATTATTATGAATACAAAAAAATAAAAATGAAGTAATTAGCTTTATTTCTTCGGTAAATATTAAGGATTTTGTGAATGCTATCGTTATTAATATCACAGAGATTACATACTTTGCTAAACACTGTGCTACTGGAGATTTAAATAATATATTTGATCTATTTGCACAAAAAAAGTATCATTGCGTGATTCAATTCTGGATAAAGAAAAAATTATTTTACTCCATATGTAAGTCAATTTTATTATTTAGAAGTTTATTCAAAAATGAGATTGATGCTTGGTTATGCCTATCCCAGGAATACTATTGGCAGATTAACTCCCTATACAATGATGCTTCACCCTATATATTTTATTTTACTGTTATATCTACTATGTTTTGGACTTGCATTAATAAATGATTAATGTAAGTTTTTTTAACAAAAAAGGTTTATAAAGTAAAACACATATTTTCAATATCGTCCAGCCTTATCTACAGGTTATGAGTAGTAATAGCAGCAAATACTCTACGAGGCCAGATTTGGGGAAATAAAGTTAAACCGGCAACAACGTAATGCGTATGTCAAAGCTTGAAACTTTATTCAATTAGTATTTATGTAGTCTTCAAATAGTACTTAGATATTGTAATAAAAACTCTAAGAACACCTTGTAATGTAATGAGTAATTATTTTTCATCTAGCGACCATCTTGGATTTTATAGAAATGGGGGAAAATGGGAAAGTGCTGGGGAATTTTAAGAAGTTTTAAGCTTTGCCATACGCTTAGTCAATGGCATTACGGTTTAATTTTTTCTCCAGATCTGGAAAAAATCTGGCCTGGTGACATGAAGTGCTGCTATGACTACTGTTATGGTCTCAGGACGATTGTACGTGAAATATGGTATATATATATATATTCGTCACAACAATAACAGAATAATTTTGTGGATATAGCAGATATTCAGGAGGAGCCATAGAATTATTTTGAAGCGGTGAGAAGTAAAAAAAACAGAATGGATAGAAGCAATGAATAATCAAATAAAATCGATAGAACAAAACAGAAAAGCCATTGGATGTTAATGGATCTATAAAATAATGATGGAACAATATCAAAGTATAAAGCTAGGATAGTAGTACAAGGATTTAGTAAACAATTTGGAATGGATTACGAGATAAATATGCTCAAGTAGCATGTTGAATGCAGTGATGTTTCACCCTATACAGAGTGTTTCATAAAGACCTGACTAACTCTCTATGGCTAATATTACGTCAAAAAATAAATGTTAGTTTACTTAATAAACATATGCCCGAAAGCGCATAATAACAGTGTTACATGGTACACCCTTCGAAGAAGGTTGAAGGTTACCACTTTTTCAACGATCAAAAACTTACTGATCGATTTAAACCAAATTTTGATTGATTATTAAATTACATCATTTAAGTGCAAAAAATTCTGCGAAGGGATAAATAAGGGTTGATGATTTAATCATTTCATCCTTTTTTCTATTTGTATTTTTTTTTGAAAAACAAAATTTAAATATAATTGTTCATTAAAAAGGTACTCTTAACACAGAAACGCCCAAAAACTAACCATTTAATCAGAATTTGCGTTTAAATTGGAAATTGCTTATCTCTTTAAATAAAGTCAAATTCGAGAAAGGATAATTATTTTTTAAAGAGAAACCATTTATTAAAAGAAAGGAAGAAACGAAAATAACGGCAATATTTTAGAACAATAAATAAATCTATAATAAATGTTCCAAATTTTGTCCTTTTTAAGGAATACACAAATTTACTCTTTTTTTTTAGTAAAAACATTCTTTGAAGTGGTTACGCGTTATTTTGCAGTTCATTAAAAGTATTTATTATCTTTTCCCATAATACTTCTAATATAACCACTTCTGTTGCATAAAATTTTTGTTTCGCATAATTCCATAACATAAAATCTAAAGGTATCACGTCAGATGACCTAGGAGGCGATTATATTAGAGCCTCTGCACCTCGCTCAATCCAATTTCGTGAAAAATTTTTACTCAACCACTGTCAGGTAAAATATTAAAATATGGCGAAGCTCCACCGTACATAAAATACATTTTATTTCTTATATTCAAAGAAATGTCTTCTAATATTTCAAAAAGTCTATCAAATAGAAAATTGTTATACATTTCAACATTTAGATTTTGATCAAAACTATGGTATCCAATGAAATTGTTTCCCATTGTTTCAGCCCAAACTTTTATTTTAAACTAATACTGGTAATAATTTACCCTTTTAACTTTTGGAAATTCTTTTGTCCACAAATGTGCATTGTAAGAGCTAAACATATCTTCGCTTGGTCTATAAATAATATGTAGTGCATAAAATGATTATGTCTAGCCTCCCTTCTAGCCAAAAGCCTTACAAAATACAAAATGTTTTCCTCAAAGGATAATCTCTTGGTAAAAACTCTTGAACCGTTCGGTAGTGGATGTAATCGTTCTCTCAAAACTCGCCTTGTAATAGTTACAGGTATATTTTTTGTTCTCAATGGTAATTTTAGAATACTAATGGTTGGATCATTAAAAACTGCACTCAAAATGTCTTCTTCATTTTCTACTGTCCTAATAAACTTCGAAAAATCATACCGGTTTCCCTACTTCTTTCAACAGCACTAAGTGTTTTTAGATGTAGACTTCTGTGAGTAAATTTTTCTCTATATCTTCTAACTGCTGCAGTAGAGTGTCCTAAACATTCTCCTAATATCAACAACATCTGTATATATCTGTATATTCGTTAAATGTGTGTTTCCATATTATTATCGTTATTCAGGTTTTAAAATAAAGGGATAAATATTTACTGTTAAACAATGAATAACTAACATCACTGTGAACTGTTTTCACAGCCTAGAGCCCTACTAAGAATGTGATTTAGGTACTTAAAAATAGAACAAAAGGGAAGAAAACAACCCCTCTTATTTACCCATTTACAGACATAATTTTTTGTAATTTAATACTCTAAATAACTTAATTTGGATTAAATCGATTAATAAGTGAAACCCTTCGAAAAGTGTAGGTACCACTGTTATTATGCGTTTTCGGACATATATTTATTAAGTAAACTGACATTATTTGTTGACGTAGTATTAGCCTTAAGAATTAGTCAGGTACACAATTTAAGTGTGCTGTACAAGATATGGGCTTCGAGGAAATTAACCATCTTACATTCCAGATTTGACTCCTAGCGATTTTCTGATGAAAACCAAATAAGACTTTGCAAGCAAAGTTTCAGAATATTATTTTCGCATAATAAAACAATTGCAGGGTCGATGTGAAAAAGGTATTGTAATAGATGGAGATTATAATGAAAAACACAAAATATAATGGTTTTAAAAAACCAGTCTTTCTACCCTAGGCTCATTTTCCATCGGACAGCCCTCGTATGTCAGAATTAATTAATGCTCCTTTTTTGCAAGTACAGTCGGCGCAACCCAAATGTGAACGGTTCTTGGACCAGTGGTGTTACAAAGAGAGGGGAGAATATTAAGAACAAAAAATATTACTTTTATTAGCGCTGTTTTGTCGAATTGGTCTTATCTACATTGAATTTGCAATAAAAAATTAAAAGAATATACACTTACAAAATTAAATTAATATAAAGGGAAATAAAACAACAAAAAGCGTTTATTTAATATAGAGGAAAATCCAAAAAATTCAATTAACATTTGAACTTATAAATTTACAAAAACTCGAGAGGTGAACCACTGAAATACTAATCAGTTTTCACTTGAAATCACAGCAATCACCAGAAATGCTCTCGAAGAGTCAAAGTCAAGTGAAGAGCTTTCAAAAAAAAGAAGAAAAAAAAGTCATTTGAGTATTCAATAAGACAATAGGAAATTTTATACAGACAAGGTGTAGAAAAATTCTCCAATGAAAATGGGGACACTACTCTCCTCGAAAAACAGCTAAAGCAAGAATAAGTGTTATTAATATTTTATTATAGAGCCAAGGGTTGCCACATTTTCCAATCTTCTTGGCATTAACAAAATTAAATGTCGCATGTCGTAAGAATCTACAAGCTCTTCCCAAGCATTTTCATAACTTTGCGGACAGCGAGCTTGTTTTAAACGCATTTGATCTGTTCTGAGAAATCTGGGGAATAAATATTCTTCTCGTGCTTTCACAGCGGTTCCAAAAGGAGTCAGACAGATATGGTCAAATTTGAATGCGCGACGAACGACTATGAAGCAAATTTTGGCGTTCACATTTCTGTTTCGTCAACTGCACAAATTCAAAGCGGAATTCCATATTTCCAATTTAACTTGTAATACACAAACGTCAAAGTTTAACAACATAATTGATTACAAAACATTCCCAAAACTTCCCGGAGTCCGTCGATGGCTCAAAATAGAAATCTAATGATTTATAAGAGAAATAAAATATGTATTAATAATAATTCCAAATTACCTTTAGCTTGCCGCCTTCGTTTGCAATCAAAATCAAGCCTTCTACCTTGTAATTTTTTCCGATGATGCTGAAATTAAAAAGTAATTGTCTCGAATATTTGAGCTGGTGGATTTTAATTAAATTCCAACTCATTAGCAGGGAAAATTTTTATACTGAATATGGAGCAGCGCCAAAAGGTCAATGCAGGATCGGGCTAAAGTTCTAACGTTTTTGACTGACTTAAGAATTTTCTTTGCTTAAAATTGTAGAAAGTGACTTACTTCTAAAGCTTAATCTGACTGATTCCTGTAAACATATAAAATATCCTGTCCGAAATATTATTTACTTGCTTTGTTGCAAAAGAGCTCTCAAATCTTCATTAATAGCTCTCTGAAAGATATTGGTTTGGTGAGTTAGGCATTTATTTATATAATTACGGGTAAGCTAATTTAAGTAATAAGCGTGGCAACACCGCCAAAAGGACATTAACGAGACGTTAATAATGGTCCGATTCGAACGCTGGAAACGTTAATATTGTCAATAGAGCGTTAACGTATATCTTCGTTATTTTTCATCAGATTCAAACAAGGAAAACGTTGCATCATTTAAAATATCGTACAGACGTCATATTTAATAAAAAAACACACACATTAGCATTGTAAAAAAGGCACTAACATCTACCTTCGTTATTATTAAGCCGAATAGTGCGGGGTAAACGATATTTATTGTTAAATGACGACAAAACATGCGCAGGAAGTTACATTGTTACATGACAACATAGTAAATTTAACAAAAATATGTCAAATTTATTAAAAACAATCAGGAATCCTTTACAATGGACTTGTGGATAATTATTACAAAGCATCATAATGATTGATTTGGACTGACAATTTTAAAACCAAACAAGGCTCAGTATGTGGAATTTACTCCTAAGATTTCTAAACCTAGACAAACCAGGCGTAGTGCTAGAATGTCACCAAGTCCTAATAAAAGACTGAAATGTTGTCTTACTTCCTATTCACGCAAAAGTCACAGACAGCTCCAAAACCAATGAAGAAGCAGGAGTGGGTATATATGTGCCAAGTCAAAGACAAGAATCTCACCGAGCTTAGGTAAATATTCAAAAGTATTCCACGCAGAAACAGCAGCAATACATAACTGCATAAAAGAGGTACAAAGATATAAACTAAATTTAAAAACCATTTTCATATACTCAGACAGTCAAGCGATGTTAAAAAAAACAGTTCCATGCAAGTACACTCAAAGCTTGTGTGGGACTGTTTGAAATCCCTAATAGAACCTTAGACTGGGTACCAGGTCACAGAGGACATTAGGGCAAGCCCTATTTAGGCCAAAAGTCTTCCATCGTGTTACTAAGACAGCCATCAGAACATGCACGAAGCAATGGATGCAAAAAAATCTTAGATGTGATCGAACAATTCACCAGGACATAGAGAAAGGTCAGGAACTTCAAAAAAGAACCATCCCATAAGTTCTTTAATTAACTTTAATTATTATTTCATGTTGATATTTATCATGAATAATTGATTGCTAGTGACCTTTAATATTTTGGATCAAAAGAATCTATTATTTGTTAGCAATATTTCGGGAATCACTCGCGTCGCCGCACATCTGTGCGTTTGAAACCGCCCTTTTTAAACTTGAAGAAGGCAGTACCGCATGAGCCGCTAATAGGTCCTTTTGACCAAGTCGAAAGTGTTTTGTTCTTCTATGTTCCGTTTCGCCTGAAAAACCTGTGCTGGCCCCCAAGAACTCCAGATCCCAGACAGACAGCCACTCCAATATTATTGGCTTCTTCCGTTTTTCCTATTAAAAATTAATATCTTTTTGCAACGCCTCTTATTGAGACGGCAAGGTTTCCTTGCATGCAGAATTGAGCTAGGTTGAAGGCATAATTTTACAGATAATTTTAAGTTTACAGGTGGGGGAGGGTACGTAGCCCGCAGTGCTAACCAAATCTAATTTATTCTACTAAGGACATAATATTGATAGGGTGAAGCTTTCAACACATTTACACATTTATGAGAAACGATGAGGATGCAAGGCACCTGGTGTACAATTAAAGTGGCACTTAGCTTTTATAATTGTTCGACAACTTACCAGTCGAACTAGATCTATACAAAATTATAGAATTCCATAATTTGGATAACTATAAGTCACTTTCTACAATTTTTGGTACTACTTAACCCTTTAAATCGCTAACCCATATCCTCAGTTTTGCCGAAATAACCCAAACACTATCTATGAACAATTTGAGAATGGCAATTTATTTCGTCACAGTATTGTCATTATGTTTTTCCCGACCAAACAACAAAATGGTTACCAGCACCAACAAGAATCTGACAGCAAGTTAACTCAGATACGCAGTCATTTGAAAGCAAGACTCTCCTGTGTAAAAAATTGATATACATGGGTTAAGCGAACAAGATATTTGCGTATCATTTTTATATAATATGGAGTTTAACGTGTTAAATTCTAAAGAGTTGGAATGGACGAATAAATGATCAGTGGAAACACTTACCATTACTTCTTTCAAGTCTTTGGTCTGGAGATGGTGCAGAGGTTCCAAGAAGTTTTGCTTAATATTATCATCGAGCGAATATTTAACGTCGGCCATTTGCTTCAGTGCTTCGCCCATTTCGATTAGGGCCAGTCCGAAATGACTATCGTCGCCTAATTTCTTACCGTACAAAAGCATACAGTCGCCTAATACGCCTTCCGGTTGAGGATAGGTGTTCGATTTCGCCTGGCCGCTGAGCTTGCTGATACCCTTCACCGCCGCCATTTTGGCTCGCGCCGTGGGGTTCGGCTGTAGGAACTCTTTTGTTTTCACTTGCAATTCTTCGACTAGTTCTACAGTCACGTCTGTTTTCTGGATGAGAAAGGAATGGTTTTCAGCCGTTTAGAAGGAGAAGAGACTTTCAGCTAGAGGCAGTGTATTTTGTAAAAGAGTTAAATTTAAGGATAGCGCTAGGCTAAATATCTCATTTCACTGGGATATTTATAATATTTCAACAATAACTTTATTGTTCGGTATAATCACCATTAATCTTAATTAATTTTTTCTTTAAAACCTTTAGTAATCTTTAAATAAAAACAAAAATAGACAGAAATATATCCACTGCCTCTATAGACCAGAAGAATAGAAGACAAAGACAAGGATGACCAAAAACGACTTACCCTTTCCATATCCATAAAATCCAGATCCAGCTTCGTGCCCTCCGCACCTCCCATTTTTTCCGTGACATACTGAAACAATTAAAGAAAGAAACCCAATTAGAATTTTAGAATTAAATAAGTCGTAAAATTTGCTGCATTGGGATGGGTTGGTTTATCTTATAGATCTCGTTATAGATAATGGAGCTGGAGCTAGCGGGAAGTGGGAGATCTTGACGAGACGGAGAGTAATCTTATGTTAGGTTGGGAGAGTTTTCTTTTCGGTTTGCGGAATAGTGTGAGACGCCGAGGGAGCCAGGGAGTTTGAAGGGTGTTTTAAGAGTGTGTGTTTGAGCCTTTCAGAGCGCGAGAGATGTATTGTTTCAAGAGGGTTGGGAAACGAGTGAGAATGGGGGTGTTTTCGAAAACTTCTCCGCTGGAAGAGCGAAAGTGTGGTGTTTGTAAGTAAGATGTGTTGAAAGTACGCCGTTAGGTACTGCTCTGTACTCTAAAACGGGGTGGGTAAAAGAACTGTGATTTAGAGCTTCAGGGTTGCATCGTCCAAAACGTCCACACAAAACTCCAAGGAGACTGGCTCACCGTCGCATCTTACCAAGAGTGCGTTGGACATCCAAAGACCAGTTGAAACCAAATAGTCAACTTTAGACTGTTTCTCTGACTCTCAGATTTACATTAACGTTTTGGGGAAGCTGGGTGGCTCTTTGTGAGTTTGGATGTTAACAATTATGAATGGTATTTTTTTACGGGTTGAGTGAGATCCTCCATCTGCTACACCAGCGGGAGTACTGGTTCGAGTACTTAGTTGGTCAGAATTTTTTGCCAGGGAGTTGCCTATTTGACTGTGATAGTTCTGTCGGTGAGGTATGAGTGTATTAATTTGGAGAAATTGACTAGTCCAGCATGCCAGACTTTGTCAAAGGCTTTCTGAACATTGAGAAGAACGGTTGAAGATATTTAGAGAGTGTTTACTGCAATGACCGCAGTAGTGTAAAGTGATTAGATTGCGTTCTGAGTGGAGTGATGAAGTCTGAAACCATGTTGGGATTTAGGAATTATATTTCACTCTTCACAAAAGTCCTAGATTCTTTCCTTGAGTAGAAGTTTAAGGAGTTTACCTAGCACTGATATGAGAGAGATAGGACGGTAAGTCTAAGGATTTTGAGTCCTTGCCTCGTATGGGAATCAAAAAAGTAGGAAAAAGATAGCAAAGCGTTCAAGAGTAGGGTGAGGATGGGAAACATGGTTTCAGAAAGATGTTTCAGCGCTCTTTTGTGTATTAAATCGAGCCCAAACGCCGTGTTTTTGCCAGATTGGGAGGCGTATTGGATGTCTTGGAGGGTAAATAGGGCGGTGAGAGTGTTTTCGACATCTAAAGGTGGGACTGGAGCGGCAAGTGTTTGATGAATATTGAGTTCGGTCTCGTGTCGGAAACGGTCATCGAAAAAGGGGCTCTGAAAATGACTTCAAGGTGTGTATTGTGTGCTAAGGCTTTATCGTCGGAGATTGTGTGAATTTCACCGTCCATTTCGATCTGGTAACGTGTTTTTAAATTTTTAAACGGTGATGATTCGGAATTTGTCCTAACGGTAAGCACAGCTGCTTTTCCCTTTATAAGGAGTAGCCTAAGCATCTCGAATATTTGACATATTAGAATTCTATCTTCACAAATTTGGCATTGATTGTTTAATTAATTAGTGCATTATAATTGAAATGCTATTTTCATTAATTTAATTGTCTTAACTAAAAATAAAGTACGCAGAACCCTACAGACTATTAAAGGACTAATTAGCATCAAATGTTTAGTTCCAGGAACGTTATTGACATGTAGATGTTTCATTAAAAGTTTAATTAATGTCCCGTGATGTAACAGATTTAACAAGCTCTATGTTTACGTGGCTTCACCGAGTGTTTGAACATTGAGGTAAAAGTTGTGTTCTGGTCAATTAATTTCTCCAACCAAAATACCCAGGCAGTTTTGATATCAAAACGTTCATAGGTAAGCTTTTTTTACTAAGTGTGGGCTTTTGTTTTTATTACATGTGAATAATAATAATAATAATAATAATAATAATAATAATAATAATAATAATAATAATAATTAATAATAATAATTAATAATAATAATACAAAACAAAAAAATATGTTGATTAATATATCCTGGCTTTGTTTAAGTTATCCTATAATAGGTACACGAAATAAAAATGCAGAGTCGATTCCCTATATGCATAAGTCAGTTGGACAACGAGCCTACTCATATATGGCACCAAAACTTTACAATTTACTGCTATCTGATCTAAAATCAATTATCTACCGAAAACAGTTCGATAAACTTTTTTATCCATTTTTTTTGACAGCTTTAGAGGGAATAGACTTTATTCAGTTTAAGTTATCAATAAAACGTTCCCCTTTTTGAATTAAGCATAAGTTTTAATGATAAAGCAAGATTGTCAAACCAATAAAATTTTCACTGTATAAATATATTAGTTAGATTAGTTAATGATACGCAAGTTTCAAAATTAAATTTTAGATAATTAGGAAAATGGTCAAAAGATAGTTCATTATTGCAACCTAATTTACTGATATGCGTAAAATTAACAGGACTATCAGATGACGTTCGACCATATAATAATGAAAATTAGTTAGAATAAATAAATTCAACTACATATACTATTCTCCAATTAATAGCCTTGTATATTTTCAAATAAATTAGTATACTGTTATACAATTTTCAAATTTACTTCTGATCTCTAAATTCGAAGCCTGGAAATTTGTAGAAAAACATGAAAGGATCAAATTTGCAAATTATTTATTGTATTAACAGAATTGAAATTGAAAACAAAAATAATTCGGTTATTACAGTTGTGGTTTTGCTGTAATCAAATTCAGCAGCTCACACGAAAGGCCGGTCGGTAGCTAACAATAAAAAAAATCAATCATAACCCAGCCACTGGCAAGCTGTAAGAAATAAAAGAATCAAAATACAAACAACGTGGATGGAACAGGGAAAATCGATAGTAAATATTTAAAGAGCTTCTGTCGATGCCAGGTCAAAGATCGCCACGAGTGATCCCAGACAATAACGGAAATTCTAACAAATTGGCTTTTCCGAGGATGGTTTAGAGTTTATCTTAAAAGCTCCAGCGCCATTCGTCTATTCGTTTGAACAACCTCACAACAATGCCCTCATTTGCGAAACATGTAACATGAATACAGCACCCCTTATAATTTTTGGATAAGGATATTTCAAAAAGTAATTTTGTTAAAAAATTTAAATTTTGGTGGCAAATATTATCTAGATATGCAAATAATTTAAATCCTTTCAGTTTTCGAGAAAAAAAAAATCAAAGGGCTTTAAATTTGGAAATATCATAATGAAAATAAATGCATTCCATAGCGCTTTTCTTAATATAATCCCGAAATTTGAGCTCTTAATCTCGTGTTAATGATTTTTTAAAATTCGCCGAAATTGGTGGCTAAAACGCCTCGTTAAGTGCTGCTTTCTGATGTAACGGGTCTGTAACTATCTTATCGTATCTTAGTCATCATTCGTTTCTTACAACGATTTACACCAATTTACACCAGAAGATAGCACTTAATGAGGCGTTTTAGCAACTAATTTTAGCAAATTTAAAAAAATAACAAGACAAAAACAGCTTAAATTTGGGGATTATATTAAGAATAGTGCTGTTAAAGAATGCATTTATTTTGATATTTCAAAATTTAAAGCTCTCTGATTTTGTTTCTTGGAAACTGGAAGAAATTTGATGTTTTAAATTAGGTAAAGATCTTTAGTAAACCAATAAAACTAAGATATATTCCAAAGTATTATTCAAGACATAAAATAAATAACACAAACTGACATACATCTGACAATCAATCACATATATAAAGTACATAGGATCGCGTCTGCCGATACCTTCTGATGAGGCTCAGTTCAAATTCATTTCGACAGAATTAAAACTTTAAAATATATGCATATTCTAGATATTATTGCCTAGTTTATTTTGCGAAAATTTTAATTTTATACCAAAATTACCTTTTAAGGAGGTGATATAATCACCTTAACATTTATTTCTTTTTTCAATAAAAAAAAATATATTTCTAATTTGTTCAGAAACTTCATAGAGATAATTCTCTTCGACATTTCTCTCATCACAATCAAGGATTTCCCTTATATTTCAGCAATCTGTTGAATCAAAGTTTCCCTCGGTCTCCGCTTTTCCTTTTACCTTCTGTTCTTGTGTCGCTAATCTGATCTCTCATTCATTCGTATTGTGACCAAATCACTGATCTGTAATTATTTACTGGATAGGATATAAGCTATATTTGACATCGTGAAAATATGTGCCAAGGGATCGGAATTGTCATTTGGGCAAATTATGGCAGACAAATTTGAAATTTAATAAAAAGCTGAAATATATTTGAACAAATTTTGACCCACTTGCCTATAATAGCTTGAAAAATTCTTAATATAAATAATATGTGACCGAAAACATCACTGGATTAGTTCCAATCGCTTCAACTATGTGTATTCATATTTAAACATTTTCACACGAAATCTTCTGGTGTTGGAATATGTCAAAGAATATATGTCTGTCCCGTTTTTTAAGACAAACTGCTCAGCTCATTCATAAATCAACTGGATGATAAGGAATTACATCAAAATGGGTATTTCCAATAAGATTTTGCAAACAGCACATACGACCAGAGAAACACTTAAATAACTTGAACAATTAAATCATATATCCAACTAGGTCTTGCGATTTAAACATATGCAATTTTCTCGTATAACCATTTATCAAATATTCGATTTTTTCAACGCCAATTCATAATCTGGAAGAACTGAGAAATCGCATAATAGGAAAAGTGTGAAGAGATCAACTACTCACTACAAATGTTGCATAACGTTTTTTGCTGTATTGCGAAGAAAAATTGGTTTGTGCTTAGACGTAAACTGACAATAATTTTAACAATTTTCTTTAGTTTTATATAAATTTTGAATAAGATTTCGATATTAAATGAATTATTTGTTCTTTTTTTTTGTTGCAATATCATTTCGAGGTAATAAATTTTGTTTACAATAAAAATATCAAGTATTAAATGTCATTCTTTGAAGTAAATATCGTTATTATTGAAACAAATGCACCAGGGGGGCTTATAACATATGCGCGTTATATCAACAGGTTAGTGCGCAACAAATCCGCGCATACCAGTCCTTTTTACAATAACAAAATGATATTTAAATGTAAAATACACTAAATAATTGAATAATTCAAACATATCTCGCTTAGTAACAAAAGTAACACACGGAAAATATTGCTTCAAAATTATATATTTATATAAATACTACAATTATTTGAATTGATCAATTATTTGTACAATGTAAATCTGACTTTGAGATTGTCGCTCGATCAAACCGATACAATAACAAAACAATATGGCTATGATTGCTGATTAAAACGTAAGTACTTTTACTTTTATTTAATTTAAGTTAAACATGTTAAATTTAAAATTAAGCAAACATATTTTGATGTTTTAACATGTGTTTAGCAGATCCTGTTCGTAATAAATTCATAATATCCAATTATAATAGCGTTGTTTGTATATAAAGGTAAATAGTACATTTTACTGATCCATTTATGCTGTAAATTTTAAGAACAAACATTTTTTTTATTTCCTTCCGATATTAAGCAAGGAACAAAATGATGCCACATAAACTTCATCATTCCATTTGCAAAAAGCCATTTATAGGTTACAAGACTTTGTGTAAATTGGCTTTGCCTTTGGTACCCTTGAAAGCTAAATTAACACTAAAGAGTAATACTAAGTAATATTGTTATCATACCATCAAACAAATTACATGAGAGAAGAAAGTTACATTCGATCAAAATTTCATTCAATGAAATAAAATTATTACCTAAAAACAACGATAAGATACTGGATTTTTAAACTCCAAGAAAGAAAAAACTTTATTTTATAATTAGAAAACAGAAAAGTAAAACTTGCGAATCAAAGAAGGACCTCAAAGCTTGATCCCGCAGGCATCTGTTATTTTTAAAAATACTACATCTAATTAAAAAAGATGAAGAGGCTACCATTATTAATTATAAAATATTATGATAGTATAAAATTGTGAAAATGTCTAAAAGAAAAACGTGATTCAAAATGATATGAAGTCAAGGTACTGCTTTGAATTTTTTTCTGTTTCAGATTATAAGGATGTGTTTTGTTACCTACCCAAGTTTACAGAAAATTAAGTTTTACTTGTTTTATTAAAATAGTTTATTTAGAAAATTTATTATAAATTAGTTTTAATGATATAATAGGTAATACAATTATTTAATACTACATTATTTATTTTACCCTTAGGGGTCATAAAATTTTACATTTTGATTGGCATTTTGTTACATCTTGTCTGTGTCGTAAAAAATGTCAATCAAAATGCAAAATTTTAGTTATACTAATTAAAGTAGAGCTACAAATAAAATCCTGCTAATTTTTAAATTAAGTAAAATATGCAGGTATCTATATTACCGACTGAGATATAGTTGGATAAATTCCTCCCATATGGCGCTGATAGCTATCATGTTGCCTTTTTTTACAAAGAAACGGCAACTCTTAATAGAGAGTTATTGCCAACACTCCGTTTAACAATTGCACTAACCTTATTTATTGCTTGTGCTATTGAAAATAACGTAGTCACCAAAATAAGACTTATTGCCACAGTACAAGTACGTTTCGTTGTAACGTAAGTATGTGTTAAAGGCCAACATAATTTCGAGGTTTATCGGAAGTAGCGTATTGACGCTTGGATTTTATTGGTTACTGGTAATAGCTCGACTAACGAAACAACAAGAAATATTCTGAATTTGTTGTTTATGATATTTTTTGTATTTTTAAGTTTTATTTTTGTGTTTTTGCAGCAGTAGGGTTTTGAAGATTTTTCTTAAGGTAATTTACTTAACACTTTTAGGTCATAAGGTCATAATACAATTACAAATGTTTGAAAACAAACATACAGAATGTGTGTGAGGCAATAGCCACTTATTATTTTAGAATTAAAAGTTAAAACGCAAAATTAATTTATATATATATATATATATATATATATATATATATATATATATATATATATATATTTCAGTAGAGTACATAACAGGCTTTTCTCAAAATGGAAGATATTCTGGAGGACATAATAATTGGTGGTGGTAATGATGAAGATATTGAGCAAGCAATTCTGTTCGAAATACTGAATGAAGGAGGAGATGGAATTCGGAATAGAGGTGACCGATATGGTATATTTAATTTAGACGAATGGGTTCCTGCAGAAATTAAATTGAATTTCCGATTTGAAAGAGATGATATCATAAGATTATCCAGAGCTCTCCGTTTGCCTGAACGAATCGTAACATCAATTAGAAATGTTATATCTGGTAAGTAGGAATATTAATAAAGTGTTTAATGCAACTTGGCAAGATTTATTGTTTCCACTCTCATTAATATATTGCCTAATTTATTATATTTCAGGTATAAATGGTTTGTACATATTATTGAGGAGGCTAGCATATCCTTAATAAAGTGACAGATATAATATTGGAAAATAATGGCCATCTTTTGGAACATTTACAAAATGCACCATGGCTAAATCAAGAAAATTTGCAGTATTATGCACAAGTAAGATATCTTTTTATATATACTTAATATATAAAACCAAAACATTGTAATAAGTGAAGAGGTTGAGTAATAAGAAATGAATCGAGAGTATTTAAAGTGTGTAAATTGAGTTTTATTAATAAAACTCTGTAAAAATTAGTCTAAGCGCTTTAAGCCTATTAGGCCATCATCAGAGACTTCGTCAATAACTATAGAAGCATGAAAACTTGAACTAAATTAAAAAGGACAGCAACAAACCGGTCCCCAGTCTCCACCATAGCTTGCAGCTTGGATAAATAAATAAATTGTTCAGTTTTATTTGTTGGGATGAACCCCCACGTCATTTCTTAAAATTTAACCACATTTTCGGTGTGGTTCCTTTATTTTCTATTATCCAAGCTGCAAGCTATGGTGGAGACTGGGGACCGGTTTGTTGTTGTCCTTTTTAATTTAGTTCAAGTTTTCATGCTTCTTCTATAGTTTTTGACGAAGTCTCCGATGATGGCCTAATAAGCTGAAAGCGCTTAGACTAATTTTTACAGAGTTTTATTAATAAAACTCAATTTACACACTTTAAATACTCTCGATTAATTTCTTATCGTAATAAGTGTCAGAGCCCCCAACATTCATTTTGACCAAAATGTTCAAACCCTGGAAGGTTAATATGTTCCCTTAAAAATATTTTGAAACTTACAATGTTTTGGTTTGTCATATATTATTACAAAATAAAAAGAGGTATTATCTTCAATGCAATGCAAGTAATGTGACTCTTTATGTTTTAGGCCATTTTTAACAAAGGGGCTGCTTTAAATACTTGTTGGGGGGGAAGAGCTATCTGTCGACCAACTGATGATCAGCGATAATATTTTTCTGGTCATAAACGACATCACTGTGTTAAATACCAGTCTCTGCTTACTCCAGATGCTTTGATTGTCAATCTCAAGGAGGCTTATCCTGGAAGAAGGCATGATGCTGGGATTTTTCGGGAGTCTAACCTCTATCAGGAATTGGAAGCATTGGCTATTTTTCCAAATGGGGAACTTTTAATATGTCCCTTTAGCAACCGTATTCTGACTCCTGCTCAAGAAAATTTTAATATATCCATGAGTTCTGTCAGTCAGTGGAATGGGGATTTCAAAAAGTTTTGGCACTTTTTGCATTTGTTGATTATAAAAAGAATCAAAAAATTAAACTGCAAGATGTTGAAAAATTTTATAAAATAGCAGTTCTTTTAACAAATGCTTATATAGTAGTGAAACGGCCCAATGTTTTGACAACTTACCACCAAATCTCGAGACATACTTAAGAGTTAACAATTAGAAACCATGTTTGACATGAAAACAGCTTTGTCATTTGGCAAATATTTGTGTTTATATTTTTGTTTTTCTTTGTATTAGGTACTTAGTTTGGCCAAGAAAAGCTATTATTATTTATTTTATATCTTATTTTGTTGAATATAGGATATTTATTGTATAAACCTTTTAATATGTAGCACTCTAATTAATATCTGTTCCAAATAAAATAAAATATTTTTTTCTAAATAAAGATTTTTTAGTGTTATTGTATTTTAAACATTAAACTACATAAATAATTGAAAATAATCTTTAAAACCAGTTTATTCATTTTTTTTTTATTTCTAACAATAGATTTTGTAATAAATTATTTTGCATCCTTATAACTTCATGCATTTGCTTGCGTTCATCTACTTCTACTTGATGTTTTTCGCCTTCCATTTCCAACTTCCTTCTCTTTTCTACAAAATCAAACTGCAACTGATCTTCTTGTATCTTAATTTTCCTTTCCTCTAATTTTAATCTATACTCTTCGAGTTTAAGTTTCCTTTCTTCCAATTCTAATTCTCTTAGTTTAATCTCATTGTCTGCAGTTCCCTTTTTATTTAAAAAATCTAAGTCATTTCCTTTCACAGGTTTATCAGTCCTTCTTTTTTTTTGGCACTAAAATATAAATAGGATATTTAGGTTTGTAAAACGAAAATAAAACATTCGGGGCTATTCAGTACTGAAGGTAATGTTAAAATATAAGGTGATTTAAAAATAAATAAAAAATAAATACCTAAAATGTTCCTTCTCGTTAAAGTATTTCTTGCATCGGTTTTAACAGCTGTTGTCTGAGAAGGTGTTGATGTATTTAATACTTTTATAATATCCGCAGAAACATCCAGGTCCAATATTAGAGACTTGTCTTGTCTGACCTCCACTTCTGCAGCAATATCATCATCCATGGTCCCTAAAAATGTATTGACATATATTATTTATGTATTCATTCTGTGAAATTATAAAACGGTTACTTACAATAATCATGGTCTCTTTCAATGACCTCATTATTTTCCTTATTTTCTATTTGAGCAGTCACAGGTAACTCTCGGATTGCTTTCCCATCCTCAATACTACTGGTCGATATTTTTTGTCTATTACACACTTGGGAGAGGTCATAGAGCTCCTGCAAGAGTACATCAGCTTCCGTGTAGGTTTCTTCAATTCCAGATCTACAATACAGGAGAAACATACAGGGCATGAATAGCTTGTAAATTAAATAATCTAGTGAGACTTACTTATTTATATTAGCCTTGTCTTTTCTCAGCCAGTTTAATAGCAAAACATCAAAATGGTTTTTTAAGGTTCTTAACGATGCTTTATTTGTAACATTTACAATATTGTCCTTAATAGTGGTACATTTCTTTGGGTCCTCAAACGGATTTTGTGCCAATACCTTCCGTAATAAGACAATTTCGTCGTTAGATGTAAAGCGCAGCCTAACGTTTTTGTTCATGTTTATATAAAATGAAATATAAATACAAAAATTAAATGCTAACCTAACCTATCTATAAAAATAAAAACTAAGATTGAATTAAAAACAAATCTACAAATAATTTATCCTATAACTATTCTAATCTATTAAAAATTAAACAAAGAAAAATAATTATACTAAAAACACAGCAAATGCACTACCAAAAATGGAAAAAAATAAACGTGAACATAAAATAACCTCAAACGAATAAAGAACCATAAAAACTCTGAACAAGAAAAAAGACAAATGGCAAATGGCGACAAACTCGAAAACTCGGTGTTTGTCTGTTCTGTACCCACAGAACATTTACTTTGGTGCCGAATTATTCACGATGCATCTCGAACATTCCCGATGAAAATACAGTATTTGGTTTTGGCACTATCCTTATTCGACATAAAATACTGTAATATAGTATTCAAATTTAGCACTATTTTCCTTCGTTCTAAAGTACGCATACGTAACTGTCACAATAGGGTTAGTGCTATTCTTTTGAGACGTGGCAATAACTCTCTAATTATCCTTCCTCCATGAAATGCACCCAGTGGATAGAAAAGGATGTGAAAAACAACAATAATGCTTGTAAAATCAAAGTTATGTGACAAATTTAAAAAAAAAATGGTATATATGGGATCAAACAGTTAACAGGGTGAACTCAAATAAACTCCTCGTCAAAACAGTATCTCCTAGTAACCAACTATAAGCATTCATTTTTAAAATTGGGCCCAACATGGCTTAGATATGATATCTTTAGTAAGGTAGTGTAAAATTTCATACACAAAAATTGTTTATATTTGAGTAGAAAATTGTCTGATATAAACATCCTTAAAGTACGCACATGACGACGCACTCTGCCAACATCTTTTAAAAATAAATCTTTAAATTGGATAAAACCAGAGATGAAATTTGCTATTGTAATACAAACGAATGTAGCCCATTAAATAAATAAAATAAATGCTCACTCAAATTCACGATAATATAATTGCTTCTGCTTTTTTTCTTAAACCACTTGAAGCGAGCGACTGAAAGCAGATATGAGCCATCAGATCGATAGATCCACGTTCAAACTAAATCATTTGAATAATAGCACGAAATTATATTAAAATTGGATCCCCAATGCTTTAATTCTGTGGCATCGTTTGTATACCTAAGGATCAATATCCATAGACGGCGTACTTACTACGAGGATGGGATAAACAATTTCCAGCCTAAGATAAAAAAAATACGGTTTAAAAATTCTTATTTTTCGACATAGTTTCAATATACTTCGCCCAACGAAATTCAAGGCCCTTAATGTTTAATATGCGTTGTAACGTTGGTAGGGCCGTATAAACTGGCATCGCTGATATTATTCGTCTCTCGCTCCCACTAATACTAACTCTCTGTGCAAGGGGTATTGGAAGAAGTTCGATAACCGATACTTTATGTCTGGGCGACAAATTATTTCGGAAATTTCGAGATTATTTGTAGTGATTTCGAGTGAAAATGTACCAGTATTTTGGGAGTAGTTCACCCCTCGGATGATACTAATTTAAATAATAACACAAATTAATAATAAATGTAGGTAAAGGTTAAATCTGCGCAAAACTCGACTTTTCTTACCCATTTTACCTACACGTACACATATTTTTCTTTTAAAAATAGTCAAAAATAAACTTTAAAAATGGGATACTACGAAACCCTTACATTGGAAGATTTTTCGTCTGGAAAGTGGCGCCTCTGTTAGATTTTTAAGAAATTAATATTTGTGAATGAAAACAATGTATAATATATTTTACTGATATTTTACGAGGGATAAAAAATGTTTACATATTTCCTTATTGTTTTACGTAAATCATTTCTGTAATACTAAAATCCACATATTATATTATAATATGCAAAGGTTTCATAGTACACTAATTTTACGGATTCGTTTTTATTTTTACTACAAGAAACATTATGTAAGTTCAGGTATAAAGGCTCAACCCGTACCCATCTGGAGTTACTTTTTGAAAATTTGAATCGGTTTCTTTTGAAAAAAATCTAAAAAGATGTCTTTCTAACGAAAAGAAATACAAATAAAAATGCTAGATGGGAAGAATATATTTAATTTTTACCTACAGGAGCATTTATTTTTCTTACAATAATACGTTAAAAGATTTTTCATCTAGAGGGTGACACCAACAAAATGTATATCCTTTTCTACTATTTACAAGTGATAAACAGTACGCAAGTGATTTGAATTTATTTTGTTTTATGTCTGTATACTTTGTTATTTTTTACATACTGTAATTTCGCTCAATTATTTTAAATTAATTTCATTAAAAAAATATATTCAAAATTAAAAGGTACCTATACAGTGAGATGTGAATTATAAATTTTATATTGCACGGGAGCTTTTTTTTTAATGAATACATTTTCGAGTTAAGAATAATTAATTCCAGCATGTTAATAACTCTTTAATCTGTTAAAAAATTATACTACATTAGCTATTAAATCAGAAAAAAAAGCATTTTTGGAGCAAGCTCTACAATCAGCGGACAACAAAAATAGGTGGAAAAATTTAAAAAAAATTCAATATAATCCCAACAAAAAATCAAAATAATTTATATAGCTTTAATACTGACTCAAACTCAATAAATAATCATTTTTTAAAAAATAAATGGAATAAAAAAGGATCCAGATGTAGATACCATTAACTTTTACAAAAAAAATTTAAAAAGGGACTTTGAATCAAAATTTAAATTTCAACCAATTGCTGAACATGATGTAACAAACTTTATACTACGAATTAAAAGTAAAGCAACTGGATTAGATAATATTAATATAACACTTATTACATTCTTATGTCCTCATATAATTCCATATCTTACGCATGTGATTACTTTTTGTCTCACAAATTCTACCTTTCCTAGTTGCTGGAAAGAAGGCTTAGTGTCACCAATTCCTAAAATAAATTCTCCGTCTAGTCTAAATGATTTACGACCTATAACTGTACTCCCAACTTTCTCTAAAATTCTAGAAAGAGCCATTGAATCCCAATTAAAAATTCACTTAAATACATATGCACTTATTCCACAAGAACAATCGGGTTTCAGAACAGGATACAGTTGCGTCACTGCTCTATTAAATATAACCGACGATATTCTTACAGAGGTAGATAGGAAAAAATGTGGTGTTCTAATTTTATTGGACTATAAGCAAAGCTTTTGACATGTTAAATCATGATATGTTGTTTGCTATTTTTAATTTTCTAGGTTTAAGTGAATCTTCCATCGAGTTATTTAGAAATTACTTTAAAAATCGGACAGTACAAGTAGGGTATGAAGGGCAAATATCTACGAAAGGATTAGTTAATAAAGGATACCGCAAGGCTCAATATTAGGTCCACTACTCTACTCAGTATACACCAATAATCTACCTACAACATTGAATCAGTTAAAAATGCATATGTACGCAGATGACACTCAACTTCTTAAATTTTTCTTCAAAGGGAACTTAAACCACGCAGAAATTGTGATAAACAATGAACTCGCTGCTCTTATCCAAGCCTCCAATAACCACGACCTAGAAATTAACACATCTAAGTCTCAGATTGTATTATTTGGAAATTTAAAAAAGAATGAATTAGTTATCAACATAGGGAACAACAAATTACATATAACTGAAAAAACAAAAAACCTAGGTATGATAATTAATTCTAATTTGAGGTTCTCAGAACATGTCAGTTTTATATTACAAAAATCGTATGCAAATCTCAAATATCTCTACCATAATCGACATGCCTTGAGTTTGAAATTGAAAAGTCAACTTTGTGATGCCCTAGTGTTGTCACATTCCAATCATTGTGACTATGTTTATGACTCATGCTTAACGTACATGGACAAAAACAGATTGCAAAAACTTCAAAACGCATGTTTAAGATTAATTTTTGGGATTAGAAAATATGATAGAATCAGTCATACTCTACTGCGCAATCATTGGTTATCTATGGCTAACAGAAGAAAATTACATTCATTAACACTTCTACATAAAGTTATTTTAAAAGAATCACCACCATATTTATTAGACAATCTAACGTATAGATCTGATGTCCACAATATCAATATTAGGCAGAAAAATCTCTTAACAATACCTCAACATCGTACTACTTTATTTCAAAGGCCTTTCCGGTTTAGTTTAGTAACTAGTTATAATAATTTGCCCACGGACATGAAAAAGTTAACTCTAAATAGTTTTAAAAAAAGTTATATTTTAAGTTATTTAATGAACAATGCGCTGAATCATAGGGATTTTATTAAACAGCTTTTTTATATAAGAATATAAAGCAATGTATTTTTTTCTTTTTTGTTTTGTTGTTTAACTGGGTTTAACTTTGTTTCACTACGAAATTTATTTAAAAAAAAGGTTCTTGAGGAAGAACAGCTATGCTGATCTTGCGCCTTTTAATTAGCAGTATACATATATTTACCTTTTATTTACCTTTTATTAAATTGTGTTTTTATTTATTACATGTATTTATTTTTACTGTTGGTTAATAAAGATATATTATTATATTATTATTATATTATTATTAAAGTAATGTATATTTTTTCGAACTAAGTAAATCATTTTTCTTGCATACGCGCGTCGCTTTGATCTGTCGCATTCTTTGATACGCGTTGCAAAAGAAGATTTTCTAAAAAGTTTGCCAATGTCTATAGATGAGAAAATGAATGTGACACGAGATCAAGGTGATTGTGCATTGTGGCACAATGAAAGACGAAAACGTGTCACTACTTCAAAATTTGGATACATTTGTATAAAAACGAAACGTCTTCTTTAAAAAATCTCATAAAATCTTTTATTTTTTGCTAAAGCCACCCAATATGGCATGGACAATAAATCCAGAGCAAAAAAAGGTTTGGAAATTTATTTTCAAGAAAAAGTTTTTATTGATTCCGAATTTGATTATGTTGCTGCCAGTCCGGATGGAGTTTAAAACAAAAACAAAACTCTATGATAAAATGTCCATATGAAGCTAGAGTGCTGACTGTAGAAGAAGGAATATTATGTTTAATATTGAATGGAACCTTCCTTTTAATAAATTTTAAAATATAATTGTTAAATACATATATGTAACTTGTCTGTAAAATAATAATAATTAATAATAAAAGATATAATTAATACTCTTGATGTCACCTTCTCATTAACGAAAATAAACGGTTCAAAACTAAAAAGAAAACAATTCTCTATTTTTTTGACCTTTTTAAAAATATTCTTATTTTTA